CAAAATAAAGGTTTTCTATTTTAATATACTGTAAAACATAATTTATTCATGTAATGCAAAGCTGAATTTTCATCATCCATTACTCCAGTCTTCAGTGTCACATGATCCTTCAGAAATCATACTAATATGCTGATTTATTATCAATGTTGGAAACAGTTGTGCGGCTTAAAATTTTTTTGGAACCTGTGATACTTTTTTCAGGATTCTTTGATGAATAAAAAGTTAAAAAGAATGGCATTTATTCAAAATATAAATCTTTTATAACAATACATATTGTACATATGTACATATTTGCATACATATATTATATATATAAATATGTATATATAGAAATTTATAACAATAATAATAATAATAATATAGTGCAATTTTAGATATACATATCTAAAATTCATATTTCATAGGTAAAAGTGGTGCTTACCTCCTCTCAAAATTACAAGTGAGAAACCTTTCTTAACCTAGGGTTAAATGTAGCCTTAACTCGAGATTAAATAATAAGTTAACCTGTAATGAAGCGTAGTGGGCTAATAGTCATGTGCATGAGGTTGATGAGCGAGTCAACTGACATTCTCTAAACCAGTGCTGTAATGGAGTACTTCAAAAGGTACTTCTAAAGCTCATCCTTACAATCTCATGAATGCAAAGCTCCAGCCTTCCATCCTGAACCACATAAATGCTGTCGTCATCATCCCCGGGCTTGAACAGCTCCTCTCCCTCCTGCAGCTCCACAAACACCATGTGCCGACACAGCTCCAAAAACAAAGGCTTCTCAAAATGACCAAGTACCCTGAAACGGATCAACATTCGTCTTTAGATGAACACCAGACATTTCATTAGGCTGAAAAAGTACCATGCGATTTGCATGCAGTTCAGCTGCGATCATGTGACCCCCCACAGGGTCGGAGTTGTTCACCTGACGTTCTTGAGCATGTAGAGCACTTCTGAGGGCAGGTTTGAGTTCTGCACGTCAAATTCAGTGAGATCTGCCTCCAGGAGAGAGGGAGGGGGCTCTTTGGGCTGCAAAGTGGGCGGCTCCTTCCTGATCCGCAAGATCCTGCATGACATCGTAGCAGGAGTAAAATAAGAAGCACTGATCAGACAGCTCCTGACTTAAATTGTGTGGGTGATAAAACGAGATGCATATGCTCTGTAAAAATTAGGTATGTGAGAAGCTAAACAAACCTGCGTGCTATACTAAGAACTTTGGGCCTCTTCCGAGAGCGCTGCTTAGACACCGAAGAGGAGGATGGTGTCGAGGACAAGGTCTGGACCTGAAAGATAGAAAAAGAAAAATAGAAAAAAGTGAAGGATGGAGAGTAAATAAAAATAGCAGGCTGTTAGTCATGCAGGTGCCACACATACAGGATGGCCATATGCCACTTGGCACACTCTATACTGCCCTCCAGTGGAGGAAGACTAAAGTTTCAGCTGATGTCAGTTAATTACACTTATAAATGCGTTTTTGTGAAGCAAGTCTCTGCAGAGTCAGTCTGAACACTCATCTATTTATCTTTCAGCACAAATAGACTGCTGTGAATCTGACTATTGATCACCAAATAAAACAGCGTGCAAATCACAGGTAAGCAAATGGATTTCAGCGTGACCCACCTTTCTCATGATTTTCCTGCCGTAAAAGAGCACTTTATCTCTTTTTCTGAAGCGATAGCGAGGAACACCAGCCTGTTGATCTTAAAACACACACACGCAAACATATAATGAATAGCAGTACTCTAGACATACACTACCATTCAAAAGTTTGGTGGTCAGTGAGATTTTTGTAAAGATATTAACACTTTTCTTTAGCAAGGATGCATTAAATCAATCAATAGTGACTATAAAGACATTTAAAAACGTAACAAATATTTCTATTTCCACAAAAAAAAAAATTCAGCACAACTATTTTCAAAATTGATAATAATATGATATAGCAATACATGTTTCTTGAGCATCAAATCAGCACATTAGAATGATTTCTGAAAGATCAAGTGACACTGAAGACTGGCTGATGAAAATTCAAAATATTACTGTTTTTACTTGGTGAGCATCTTTCAAAAACATTTGAAAAACATTTACTGATCCCAAAATGTTTAATGGTATGACCACAAGGCTCTTATTCAAGTATCAGAACTGAGCAACAATGTAAAAACAACATGATGCTCAAGCCAGTATACAGTTCTTTGGACTTAAAACATCTGTTTTGGGCACAGAAGTGAAACATACTCGCCAGTTTATATCTGCGGTAGAAGAAAAGCACAGAGATTCCTATCAGACACACAGCCACCACGGCACTGATCAATATGCCCGTCAGCTGGAACAAACAACAGTCACAAAGATGTAAGATAAGGGAATTTATCTGACATTACAGGAAAAATTATAAATATCATCCTCTACTACTGGACTTTTGATTTTACTTTAATCAAAACACATTTTCAGTAACAGAGCAAATAATATTGGCAAAAATGCTGCAAGAAATAATCATCTCATTCAAATGGGCGTATCGGTCAACCGAAACATGATTAAACTTCTGTAACTTGTTACAGCTGATCTGAGTCAGTCAGATGCAGTTCCCTTTGCACTGGAAACTAATGTGGGAAAAGATAGCTTTCCAGAGTAAAGGCCCGTTCACACCAAGAACATTAACAATATGGTTTTAAAAATTGTTCTAAATTTAAAAGGACAGCTCCACATCTCAACTATAACGATAACAACACAGAGGAACTTTTTTCCATCAGATTAAAGATAAAACCATTGACAGCAAATCAGAATCCACCTGACGTTAAAGCACTTGAGCATTTAAAGCAGCAGACAACAGAACTGCAGTATTTGCTTATAATAAACAGATCATTATCATGCATTGGTGTGGACGCTAATATAGTCACTGTTATAGTTATCGTTCTTGGTGTGAACAGGTCTTAATTCAGAGAACACATCAGTGTACCATGGTGGTCTGCATCCTCTCCTCCACAAACTGCTGCAGGCGGGAACGAATTTCACTCCCAATAATAGCCTGAGGAAATAAACAATACACAAACAGTAAGATACATTCACAATTATGTCTCTGTTTTGGTTTGAAAATAAAAAGCCCTCTGGATAAAACACCCTTTTATATTTGTATTGTATAATTTATTTACATTTGTTCCACAGAACAATACAAGTAAAAAAAAAAAACAGCTCATGTGGGGTTTCTTTGAAATCATATTTATACTTAAAAGTTGAGCTCAAACGAGACTCAAAGAGGACGGTGCTTTCTCAGCTGCTTCCTGTCATGTGCAAAAACACAAAAGCACTTCCCCTTGCAAAAATAAAGAGATCTATCAGCTCAACCACTAATCTAACATTCTTCACCAAAACTAAAAATATTGTCATTACTTATTCATCCTTATGTCATTCCAAACTTATTTGCGGCCATTCTTCAAACACCATACTGTACATTTTTAATAAATAGGGAGTGGACAAACAATCAGCAAAGTACATGAACTGATAATGTTGACACAAATGCATAACAATCCAGCTGCAACATAAAATGACATTTGAGACAGTGAGATGCAAGATACTTACAGGATACTTGCACTGATCTCCATCGTCATTCTCATTCTCTCCCATTTCTAAAAAGTCAAAGTCACTCAGTTTATGGAGAATGCATTTAGTTGTATTTAAAACATGAACTGTTTTGTTTTCTTGAATGACAGAGAGCAAGAAAAGTGTCAAAAAAAGTCTGAACTTTTCTGTGAGTAAAGTGTTGAAAGACGAACTTCTATTTTAGCTGCGCTTAACACACCTTTGCAAACCCTTTTATTATGTAATCCTATGGAAAAATAAGCACTCCAGTTAAATGTGAAGCAGTGTTTATGTTGTCATTGAAGCAGGGATAACATTCATTAGTGTTATGGGCGTTACAGCTATCTAAAGTGTAAACAACAACGTCAACTCTTAGAAACAGTTGAATTCTGTTTTAGGCTTAGACCCTTTGTACATAAATATCAATAAAGCATACATATCTTACCAAAAAGCAGGTGGTTTATACGTGCAAGAGTAATATGCTAATTAGCCAGCATTCATTAGCTTACTTACTAAAGACAGCGAAACTGAAGACCGGTCCGGAAATTATCCCGTTTGAAACTGTTTATTCATACCACAGCTGCTGGCTGGGTCACTTTCTTGTCATTTCCACACAAATTTCACTCCAGTGTAAACTTTGGCAGCTCCTTTTTCGCCCCATGAAATCAAATCTCTGCTGTTACCTTGACAGTCTTCGGCGTGGCAGTGATGTGCAGTTTCATTGGCTACAAACAACATCAAGGGGCCAATCAGGATCGCTGTTGTTTGACTACTAATTTTTTATATATATTGCATGCAGTGTTGCCAACTTAGCAATTTTGTTGCTAAATTTAGCAACTTTTCAGACTACCCTAGCAACTTTTTCTTCCAAAAGCACCTAGCAACAAATTTAGCTTTTTTTTTTTTATTTATTTGGCAGCTTTTAGCAACTTTTGATAAGTGACTCAAACGATAAAAAGGCACAATTTACCATTAAAATTACACAAAAAGAGGAAACCAAAGATGCCTAGCAGTACACACTATACCCCAGCGACTTAACACTGCTTTTGTGCTCCAGAGCAGATTTTGCTCGTACTCTGAAGTCCTGTTGTTCATCCTAGCAACAAATCAACCTTCCTTTAGCAACTTCCCCTGAAAATTAGTTGGCAACACTGATTGCATGCAAGACAAAACAACATACACAATACCAAGATAATACCCATAACTGTGCAAACCATAACATTAAAAATAAAAAGGATGGCGTGTAATATAACTAAAAGTAAATGTCATTCATGTCAAATGTATTAATAATATTAACGTGCTATTAACAGCGTTGTTGTTTGTTTCATATTTACACAAAACAGTCACGCATAAACGCAAAAAAAAAACCCGTAGCCATACAATTCATTCAAAACCATGCACATGGAACTTAATAATATTAACTGTAACAGACCACATGTTTTGTTTTGTTGACAGTAGAAAAAGTGGTGAGAAAATTCAGTGTATATTTGTGTTTCTGTAAGTTCTCTTAGCTTGACCAAATGCAATCAAATAAAGCACTTTTCTTCCATAAGAACTTTATTGGTTTGCAAGCTGTTTTATACATTCTGGTGTCCTTTGACATCAATAACATAATTGTAAGAGTTGTTTAGTCTATTGCTTTGTCTTCTTTTTTCTCATGGGGTAGAATTTCAGACCAATTATGTCTCATTTCACACAGATTTAAAAACAACATTCACAGACGTTTCTAAATGAGTGGCTATCAAACAAAAGTAATTCATCAAAACCACAGACAAATGTGACACATTTAAATACTAAAAATGGCAGGAACGAATAAGGCAGGCATCTGGTATTCACAATTGTGGTTTTTAAATGATAAACGAAAACAACCTCCACCCATAATATACTCTGATAATCAAAATTCCCATTAAGAATATATTTATAATAAAGGCCGTTTTGGGTACACATTAGACCAAAAAAAAAAAAAAAAACTTTACAAAAAATTCCACACAATCTTTGTCCTCCTCCTCCTCCTCCTCCTCCTCCTTTAAATCCTTTAAATACTTGTTGAGATATTTGGCCACTGAATGGTAGGCAAGCAGAATCTCCTTGTCTTTGGGGCAGGTGAGGTGGAACACATCCTCCTTGTATGCTTTGTCCAAGTACTTTGTGAGGCCTTTTAGCTCTGCAGGGATCTCAAAACCACGGTACTTCTTGCACACCACCTATAAAGTCAACAAAACATTTAGATCTATAAACTAGATGAAGTTTAATGGCCATAATGAAGATTTCACTACATTCCCCATTCCCTCCACTAAATAGCAACTGTATTATATCAGTACTACAATATACACTTTACTGAATTTTTCATCTAAATGGGAAAAAATGACCAAGAACCTTGACAATGTGGAGTTTTGGAAGCAGGTTGCAGTCAGCAAGAGAGAGTGCATTTCCGTCCAGGTAATGTCTTGTGGACTGGGACAAATCTGGATTCTGGTCCAGTTCATGAGGAAGAGGAGTCAACAAGTATTGATCCAACTTCATCAAACTCTTTAGAAATTTCTTCTCCAGCACTGAAAGGCACACATTAACCATACCATTAATGTATTGATATTCAAATGCATCCATCCATCTATCTATCTATCTATCTATCTATCGATCTTAGAGCAACAAGTTTTTCCAAATGCTTTAGAAGTGACAGCCTCCATATTTCAAACATAAAATGGCTTCAAGTCTTGAAGCTAATTTCTAAGGTTCACTGCCTTCTCATCAGTTACAGACTTTACTGTTCACTGGCCAAACAACTTCAGAGAAGGGTGACCCTTACTGTCATTGAGCCCAGGATTGGGGTTTTTGATGTATGCCGAGAATTTGTGAAAGATGTCATCTCCTGCTATGTTAGACTCCTTATAGCGGCAGCATAACTTGGGATAGCTGTAATGCAAAAACAATGCAAAACAAGTTTAACAAAATTCCATTTCATTATGTAAAAGGTTGAATTTGTAGTGGAAGACATTTTGGCATTTTGTACAAACAGTAAGATATTTTTTTTCAGGAATTCTTGTATATTTCAGGAGCTCACAACAAAATATTAGAAATCTTTGATCTGGTGCTATGAATGCATACTCACTGTGGGGGAGCAAGGGTCTCTTCCAGAAACTCTTCAATTTTGTTGGTGTCAGTACGGACCTCTCCATTATAGATGAGGAAAGGGGGCTGAGAACCTGGAGCCAAGTCCTTTAGTACCTCTGGAGCTCTAGAAACAAAGAAATCATAAATAAACAGATCCTTTTTTTAAGGAACTTAATGAGAAATGTTTGAGATTATATTAAATCTCTGATTGCAGTACAGTTTGAGACATTGTTGAGATCTTTTTTTTTTTCTTTAAAAAAAAAAGATGTGTGAGATTACTGGGCTCCTTATCTCCAGGGAAAAAGAAAAGATCTTCTGTAGATCTCAATTTAGCACACCATTTAATCTCAATGTTGTCTAGGAGAATCTGAGAAGAACTGTTATCCCGATGTTGACATCTCTCACCTCTTCATGTCCACTGTAGTGAGGGTGAAGTTGACCCCCTTCAGCCAGAGTATCATGAAGAGCCGCTGACAAAATGGGCAGTTACCAACACTTTCACCATCATCGCTGGCCTGAAGACAACATTCAGTTAGCAACCCTTTAAAACTCCTAAAATGTAAATTATTTAATGTACAAGTAGAAACATGGAACTATACTTCCTGAAAAAGTACCACAACATTAGCAGGCATTAGCATTAAGATGTTCATGTTTTTGCTTAAAATAATTTAGCCTTTGTTTAGATTTGTTTTAGAGCTCTTATCATAAGTTCTAAAATCTGCAAGACCATTTCGAGGCCACCAATGTTGTTTTCAAGGATAATGTCATAGGAATGATTGGAAGTACAACCATTTCGAGCAAGGGTTAGATCACAAGAGACAAACTTTTACGTCTTATATCTTTCAGTCAGTCAAGTTAAGCACAACAACAAACGGACTATTTAAGCTCTAACCTTAACAAATAGTTCAATCTTTGTTGCTTCAGCCATCTCTGGTCCTCCTCTACCTCCTCCTCTTTCTGCAGCGTCTCAGTTGCCCAGGATCTCTTGCTGTCTTGGATCAAGTCAGTTTACATCAATCCTCAGAGCCTCCTTAGAATCCACTTCACCTCACGTGTTCACACTTGGATGTGTCTGTCTTCTGCTTTGACCTCTGAAGAATTAAGTTGTACTGATGGTACTAAAAGCAGCACCTTTCCGTCTTCCTCTCCCAACCGCAGTTTCTATCATTTTCCTTTCAGACAGAACCCAAACTCCCACCACACCCCATTGGTCTTGAGTGTTTGGAATACCTGCCCACTGGCCGAACCTGTCCAACCTGTATCTTCCCTCATTCTCTGCTGCTTAAGTCATAGCGAGTTTCTCTCTAAACTGCTCTGTTCCGTCCTACTCCCATCATTCTCCACTGCTATACAGGCATAGAGTGTCCAGTCTATAGTCGTTTTACCCAAGTTTACCCAAAAATAAAAATTCTGTTATCATTTACACATTATGTTGTTTCAAACACATGATTTTGTTTTTAGACCACAGAAGGAGATGTATTATTGTATGTTCACGCTGCTCTTTTCCATACAATGAAAGACAAGAATAAACATTTTGCTAAACTTTGTGTAAAAAATAATGAGTGAGTAAATGATAACTGATTTTATTTTTTTGGATGTTTGGATCATTGTTATGTTGTTTCAAACACATATGATTTTGTTTTTCTTCCATAGACCACAGAAGGAGATGTTTTACTGTATGTTCACACTGCTCTTTTCCATAAAATGTAAGACAAAAATAAACATTTTGCTAAACTTTGTGTCAAAAATAATGAGTAAATGATAACTGATTTAAATGTTTGGATTGGATTTTTGATGAAAATGTATAGCTTCATGCACACTCTATGCTTTATTCTGCAGATATGGTAATTTGGTTTATATTTTGTGCCATCAAAACTGAAACGATACTTTTAATTCATGTATTGTTGATCACTGTTGAAGAACTTTGACCCTTGATCTGAATTTTGTTTGATGGTAAAGATACTCCAGTGAAAAAAGGGTCGGGAGAGAGTGATTTTCTACAGGTATGAGGTGTGACAACTCTGGCATTTAGTCGTGTATGACAAATCATTAATTTGAATACTTAGTGTTTCAATTTGTATTATATGTTGTAACCACACCAACGTTTTTTGTTTTCACAGAAGAAACATGGCAAGTGTTTCAAAATGCAAAAAAAAATGTTAGACACGTTAAACCAGTGTCATTGAATTATGCCAACATTATGATTTTAATTAATTTACTACAGTTTTGTGCACTGATGTTTGGGAAAATCTGTGAAATTCTGCCAAATTTAAATATGGTGAAGAGCTAAAAGCCCTATTCTGTTATTGGTAGCTGTAAGAATCGCCAAATGAACCAAAATACTTTATTCAAACACCCATTTCCAACACAAGCTACATGTTAACACAGAGGACAAATGTCCTGAATCACCACACTGCTTTTGTTCAAAATAGTCTGAGTCATTTAACTATTAGTAATGAATTAAAGCAACGTCGACTGAACCAGTTTTAATCTGGAAAAATAGGGTATCACCCCTTGTAAAAATTACCAGGGTAATTATGCCAAAAGCAGGCGCAGCTAAATATTCACCCAAAACATAGACCTCTATATAAACTGAATAAATAATAAACTGTAAATGTGTTCAGCATTCCGCAACTAATATTTTTCGGATTTTCTTGACAATTTTAAATCATAAAG